GTTTGCTGCCCAGACTTAGGTAAAATTTGCCATGCAGGCCCAGGTAAGGGTTCTCAGACAGTCCCAAGATAAATAACAATTGACACAACTCACTTGCCATTAATGACTCCATCGGGATTGAGCATGGGGATGATTTTGAAAATGAAACATTTCCTCAGGAGCTCAGCAATAGGGTCGCTGCCCATGAGAAAGTCCATGGTCCCCTTCATTACCCAGCTTGCATTGCTTTCTCCAGGGTGAACACGTGCCATGAGCACCACATAAGGACGATGGCCTATAAAACAAAAAGTAAGACTTAGGTTGTTGTTTTGTATTTTCTCTTTGTGGGTGGCATTTTGCCTTTAATCCCTGGAGAGAATAATATGACAATTGCCTAACAGAGAAGCCCTCCCTGGTTTTGACATTTCCTAATTCTAAAGGCCATATTTTCCAATTGGCTTCCAAAAAGCACCCACGATTTTCCACAGGGAACCTGACCATCCCTGAAGTTGCCTGCACAGACAACTGTATGCACAGTTATAGGGTTTCTGAATGTGCAGATAACTGTACCCATGAAACTGGAGCTTCAGATTTCAAGTCCATTTATGAAAGTTTGATCCTGTACATTAATGTTGAATTGCAGTGGCGCTCAAAGGTGACCAGACAGGATTCCATTTGCAAACTCAGAGCTGGAATTAATGTCCCTCTTTCCTTCCACTTCCTTAAGCCCCTCTCTTCCTGCCAAAGAGTAAGTGGGTTTAAAATAATGTAAGTTGTACATGTGATCTGAGAATTCACATAGAGTGCTATATCTTGAGTCCAGTAAAAGAACATGAACTAGAACTCAGTTTTCCAATAACCTTATTTCCATATTGTTTGCATACTATAACTTCCTATGGATTATGCTGATTAAAATACAGTAAATGTCTTGTACATTTAAAAACTGCAAGAAAGGATCACACTGTCCTTTGCAAAGCCACTAGCAGTATTTTGCCAGTTTCAGAGAGTGAGGCTTCTACTCCATTACAGCCTATGCACCGTCTGTCAGTAGTGCTTTGAAGTAGCAACCAGCAAAAACTTCAGCCTTTGCAAAGACATCAGCTGTACTTTCCCATTTCTAGACATTTTCTTCTCTCCCCCATCACCATGATTTAGTGCTGTTTTTCAGTCTCACTGCTGAGTGAAACTTATGGGACTGTGCAGTTGTAGCGGAGAATGGGGCTCCTGAGAACTCGGAATGGACAACAGCTGTAAATAGCACAAAGCAAAATAAAACGTGTTCTCTTTGGCAATTGATGACTACAGCTTTAACAACTCTTATCTCTTCTCTGTGTGGGAGCAAGTGCAGCATGTTAATTGAGGGGCCTCACTCCAGTATATGTATTTCTGCCCTCAGCCGACAGAAAAACTGAAAGCAGGGTCAGTGTGCTAGCCACAAAAGCCAAGGACAGTTTACCATAATTTTGCCAGTGGTGTAAGAGGCGTGAATCCTGCTCATCTGAGGAGGGTGACCAGTGTGCACTTTTGTCTCAGCTGGACCAAATGCTACAAAAGTGGCTGGAATGTGTCCAGAATGTCTTTCCAGAGACCCAGTGGAAGATATTTGAGATACCTTCACCTGCCTGGGTTCTGCACCTTCTGAGGACTCCTGCAAGCTGCTGAGTGACCTCATCCCTCCACTGAAGACAATAGGTTGTTGAGGACACCCAACACCTTGCAAGACTGAGCCTTTTGGTTCTAGTAAAGTCACATGGGGTTCTTCCCCTGGCTTCACACATGGATGCTACTGAAATTTAATTGGCTAACATTACATATAGGCTGTGTCTAAACTGCATCCCTTTTCCGTAAAAGCGATGCAAATTAGACACATCGCAATTGCAAATGAAGCGGGGATTTAAATCCCCCCTGCTTCATTTGCATAAACATGGCTGCCGCTTTTTTCCAGCTCGGAGCTTTGCCGGAAAAAAGCGCCAGTCTAGACGAGAATCTTTTGGAAAATAAAGCCTTTTCCAAAAGAGCCTTTATTCCTTATTTTAAGAGGAATAAGGAATCTTTCAGAAAAGGCTTTATTTTCCGAAAGATCCGCGTCTAGATGGCGCTTTTCTCCGGCAAAGCAGCGAGCCGGAAAAAAGTGGCAGCCGTGTTTATGCAAATGAAGCGGGGGGGATTTTAATCCCCGCTTCATTTGCAATTACGATGTGTCTAATTTGCATCCCTTTTACGGAAAAGGGATGCAGTCTTGACACAGCCATATGGTCTGGTTGGAGTGGAATAGATTACCTTTAGCTCCACAGAGGGAGATTGCTGGTACATGAGCTGAAGCTTCTTTTTAAAACATGCAGACCCTATAGAGTGAGTTCCTTACAAACACACGGGCAATTCTGACCTTCCATCCACAAGAGGATTGCAATACAGGTGCATGCCAGCGGGTGCACTGCATGCTACCGTAGACCTCCTTAGGCCTCTCTATAAGGAGTCACTTATAAATCCATGCTGGATTGCTTTTCTTCCCTGGATTGCAAAATAGAACAAAGCACTGATGACACAGCCATAAAACTACCTTTTACTGAAACATTCCAGAAACGTAAATTCAGTTCTGTGGTAAGTAGGGGCCTAGGAGTAAGCTGATTTTGCACTTTAAGCAACTTGGCCACTTATCTGCATTAATATTGCTTCAGTAAAGACAATGAATATTATTGCTCATGAAAGTACTGGAAAGAGGCTCTGGCCAGTTATGTCAAGCATAGACAGGCCCTGTGTGAGTTTCATGGACCCAAATCACTGGATGCAGCTCAGTTATGATATCAACTCCCTCCAGCTATTGCTAGCTCCATACAAAGTTCTGCTGAAGCATCACATAGAATCATAGAATTGGAAGGGACCTCAAGAGATCAAGTCCAGTCCCACCCTGCAGGACCAAGCACTGTCTAGATCATCCCTGACAAGTGTCTGTCTAACCTGCTCTTTAATATCTCTTGTGATGGAGATCCCACAACCTCCCTAGGCAATTTATTCCAGTGTTTAACCACTCTGACAATTAGGAATTTTTTCCTAATGTCCAACCTAAACCTCTCGTGCTGCATTCAAGCCCATTGCTTCTTGACCTATCCTCAGAGGCCAAGGAAAACAATTTTTCGCCCTCTTCCACTCTTTTAGATACTTGAAAACTGCCATCATGTCCCCTCTCAGTCTTCTCTTTTCTAAACAAGCCCAGTTCTTTCAGTTTTCTGGATCCTTAATAATTTTTGTTCCTCTTCTCTGGACCTCTGCAACTGGACACAATACTCCAGTTGAGGCCTAATCAGTGCAGAGTAGAGTGGAAGAATGACTTCTCATGTCTTGCTCACAACGCTCCTGTTCATGCAACCCAGAATCATGTTTGCTTTTTTGCAACAATGTCACACTGTTGACTCATGTTTAACTTGTCCTCCACCATGACCATTAATAACTATTCTCTGAGAATGGATGCACTCACCTTGTAATAGCCCCATCTAGGTTGCATTTCCCTAGTTTGATAAGGTTATGTGAGACCATGTCAAATGTCTTATACTTTAGTAAGTATACCATGTCCACTGCTTCTCCCTTGGCCACAAGGCTTGATATCCTTATCCATGGGACCAACAGCTCATCTCAACAATTAGGCTGTGCATAGTTTTGGCCAGAATATCCATCTTCTTGCTTGTTTAGGTGTGGCTCACTTTCTGGAGTTGCAGATGTCACTTTTCCCGGTCATTTTCCCTCTGGCCCTTATCAGGACACTATTGCATAGCAAGATTGCTGCAGAGAGCTTTCTGATTGGTTTGACATGATTTGTTATTTACAATTCCATGCTGGCTGTTACCTATCACCTTATTATCTTCCAGATATTTGCAGATGGATTCTTTAATTACTTGCTCCATTATCTTCCCTGGCACAGAAGTTAAATTGTCTGGTCTCAAATTTTCTGGGTTGTTCTTATTTCCCTTTTTCTAGATGGGAACTACATTTGCCCTTTTTCCAGTCTTCTGGAATCTCTCCTGACTTCCATGACTTTTCAAAGATGATAGCTAAAGGCTCAGATACTTCCGCTACCAGCTCCTTGAGTATTCTATGATGCATTTAATCATTGCTGACTCAATTCATTCCTTGCTATTCCAGTGCTGGGCTACACATAGCAAGGCCACTGCATTTGACATCTGTCCTGCTGTGATAGTCTGGAGTGCCACTAATTGTCAGTGGTACCCACTTGCAAGTGGTTTCATGATCTGCACAGTCACTAGGGATCGCTCTCTCACATGGTTCCTTCAAGGCTACAATTTGAGACCAGATGTCCAAAATATTAGGCCAGTTCTTAGACAGAATCCTTGCTGAGTTCTGAGGAAGCTGCCAGAAAGCTCAAGTTAGCCATTTATCTCTGCAAAGCCCACATGGCACATAACCTTCTCAGGGAATGTAAATAATAAGAAGAGAAAGCACAGAAACCTTTTCATGCTACATAAAGCCTCATCCAACTGATCATGTCTTGTTACACGGTGTTACATTTCGACATGCCCAGAATATAACACAGCACCAATAGACGCCAAGAATCCTGAGGTGAGGGATTAAAGAGACACCGATGCCTCCTGGGAAACTTTGAAAAATGTCCTTTGAAGTTAGAATTCTGCTAACATATCACACGTTTCCCATCTTTCTTTCTCCCTTCATTCATTATGACTCCAGCCCTGGTATTTGCATGAAAAGAGGAGCTTTGTGCCTTCAGTACAGCTTGCCTGCACCTGCTGCTTAATCTTGTACCCATTGTCAGGCTCCTCTGGCTATAACATCATCAAGGCTTGATGAAAGGCATTGCTGAAAATTATGACATCAAGGTGGGGAGCCAGTAACAGAGGCATAGAAAAAATGTGAGGGGCAAACAAAATCCCATTGTCCTTCAGCATACAGGCAAAATGGAGCACCATTCCAACTGGGCGTGTTCCAGATGGGGATTCTGAGCTTCTCAAATTTCAAGGCCCTTTGGATCTGGCTCCACCCACTGTAAAGATAAGTGTCATCTATATCATATAGGACTGGGATTTTCAAGGGAATCTATAGGGGTTACATATCTAACTCCCATTGAATTCAGACTAGGTCAGGATTCAGGTTTGAATTTTCCCCATCTGTCCACACACTCTCTCTCTCTCTCTCTCTCTTTGTCTCTCTCTCTCTCTCTCGGCAACCCAAGTTTTTCTTTCATGCCATCCGTAAGCATGATAGGTCTTCATTTTTTGCAACACTTAATACTTGTGCATTCAGCATCCCAAAGCCTGATAGCTACAG